TTCTGGGCTTTGAGACCACACGGGATGGGGGCTAGTGGAGAGGGAGGGCTTGGGGGAGGAGAACGAGGGGGGAGTTGAATATTTGTATAAAGTGAAAAACAAAATGTTTACCAATTGGGGAGGGGCAATATTTATTTGTTGTAAATAGCAAATGCTAGACTTGAATATTATATTAAAATCCTGTTTCTACTACAGCCAGGGAGTTCTGATTTTGTTCTTTCACTTCCTGTGTGATTTCACATGAGATACTTGAGATTCTCACTCCTCCTTCAAATAAAAAAAAAATCTTACGGAGTCATCAGTTTACTTGGGGCAGAAAAAGCAGGAAGGGCTACTCTCTGTCCTCTGGTTATGAGAAGAGGCACACTATCTCCTGTCACAGAGCACATGCTCATTCCTGGGCCGTAAAACCAGGCAAGGAGCCGAACAGCCCAGCAAACTCCTTCTACAAGGAGAATGTCTGTCATGCTCAAGGCCACTGTTGCAGTCACTGTCAATCCATCTCGTTGAGGGTTTTGCTCTTTTGCTGACCCCCTTGCTTTTTCCTAGCATGATGTCTTTTCCCAAGAACTGACCCCTTATTGATAATATAAGGGTGGTGAGAATGGGGCAGGCTAGAGCAAGGTTTGGATCTGTTCATAGGATCTCTCTCAGTAGTGGATGACTCCCTGGCACCCAGCAACAATGGGAGAAGGTGAGATCATGGACCACATGAGAAACCCCTAAATGTGAGGAAGAATCTGTTTTAAAGAACAGACAGTAATTTAAAATTTGCCCTATGGTAGCAACTCCTTGGTAGTAATATAGGAGGCTTATTAACAGGTTACTTGCCGATTCCCTGGGTATAGCAACAGGAGAGGACTCCAGTCTCCACATCCCCCAGAAGGAGGCAGGGGCATTTTTATCTCTGTGGAACAGAGGCAGCATGTTGCTAGGGTCCCAGATCTCCAATGCTTCCCTAGCAACTATTACACGACAGTGACCTAGCAAGTGGAAGTGAACTAGCGTCAAGCAGGAGCACGGCCATATGCCAAAGCTTGTTCTTTTACAATCCACCCCTTGAAAGTGGCTCTTAAAAATCTGGCATGCTCCTGTCTTCCAGGAGGTTCCGGAGGACCCCAAGGGGAGGCATTACAACCACGTTGGTAAGACAGTGACACTGCTGCTGAAGGCCTTGTTAGGTGCTATTGAGTTGAGTACGACTCGTAGTGACCCTATGAACACATGTGAATTCTATCCTATCCTGTGCCATTCTCATCTCTGACACACTTGAGCCCATTGCTGCAGTCACTGTTAATCCATCTCATTGAGAGTAAGTCCAGTGTAGGCAAACAGCAACATTAAAGACAAACAACAAGAAAACCCTATTCCCAGCGGAATACCCCACACTTAGCCAAAACTGTCAGCCAGAGAAGGAGGAAGAGCCAGATAGTTGCAGCAGACCCACCATCAGGTGTATGTAGGACCATGGGCCTAAGAAACCCCTAGTATTCTGGTCTGGTACACAAGTATATTTCAGTTATTGCTATAGCATGTCCTTCTTTGGGTGGTGGTCTTCATGGCCAGAGCTATGTGGTGTGGAGGTCCACCTTTAGCTGAATGGTTTCAGCAATTGGTCAAAAGCTCTCTCCTGCTATTGGGGTCTGGTTTCAGAGTTTCAGTTTCTCTGATTACTTCTCTGGGGTCAAAGGAAGGAACAGACGGTTAAAAAGGTAATCATGCCAGTAAAACACTGCACTTGGTGTAACTGGCTTTACTATTTTGAAGACTATGTGTGCAAAACACTACATTTCCCCCCCTTCCAAACTCCTTATTTGCTACTTACAAACCAACAAATGTCAAAGAAAATACAGTTCCTTTCACACCTACAACTAACTGGCTTTATGCCTCAGATTTGGTTTTTACTATCTCATATTCTGGCACAACCAAACATTCTCCTGTAAAAAACAATAGTTACACTCTCTCCCCCCACCCAAAAGACGTTACCAGTTCTATTGTTCCCCCCATCAGTAACAAATTGTGGCTAATACTGAGAAGAATAGGAATCCCAAAACACTTAATTGTACTCATGTGAAACATATACCTAGACCAAGAAACTGTTGACTGAACAGAACGAGGGAACACTGCATGGTTTAAAATCAAGAAAGGTGTGGGTCAGAGCTGTATATCTTTTCTTCATATCTGTTCAATCTTTATGCTGAGCAAAGCATTCAAGAAGCTGCACTTTATGAGGAAGCATATGGTATCAGCATTGGAAGAAGACTCATCAACAACTTTCACTATCAACCTTGCATGCTGAAAGTTAAGGAGGGCTTAAAACACTTGCTGCAGAAGATAAGACTACAGCCTTCAATATTCATTACATCTTAACATAAAAAAAAACCCCAAAATCCTCATCAGTGCACCAAGAAGAAACATCACGATGGATGGGGAAAAGACAGAAATTGTCAATGACTTCCTCTTATTTGGATCCACAATCAACAATCTTGATACTAGCAATCAAAAGACAGGTTTCATTGGGAAAGTCAACAGTCAGGGATCTCTCCAAAGTACTAAAGACCAAGGATTTCAGTTTAAAGGTTAAGGTCCACTTGATCCAAGCCATGGCCTTTCCAAGTAGTTGTTGTGCATCTGAGAGTGAATAAAGATAACAGAGAAGATTGATGCCTTTTAGTTGTGGGGACTGGAGGAGAGTACGAAATATGTCATGGTCTGCTAAAAGAACAAACATATACGTGTGTTGGAGCGAGTGCAGCCAGGATGCCCCTTGGGGGAATGATAGGAAAACTGTCCACATACTTTGGGCATGTTGTTAGGAGGGGCCAGACCTTGGAAAGGACGTAACTGTAACTGGAAAAGTGGGGGGTCAGCGAAGGATGAGAGGCTCTCCGATGAGAGGGATTATCCTGTTAACAATGGGCTCAACTGTGACAGAGATGATGAGGATGGCACAGGATAGGGCAGGGCTCAGATCCATTGTATTGTCAACTCAAGGGCACTTAACAACAATAACAACAACAACATTTAGCCTTGGAGGTTCACACATGCCTTTATGTATTTCTTATTGTTGCTCAATCCCTTTTAGCTAGAGTCTCTGCATTTTAAAATATACGCACCCTTAGGGCTTTTAGAAGGTGAGTTGTCCACAGACCTAATAGCTGCTGTTGGTATGGAATGCAGCATAGCTGTGAGCCCACTGTGGGAAGATATGGCAGACCCAAAGGGAAGGAAAGCAGAGCAGGACATACAATTAGAAACAGGTGCTTAGATCAAAGGGCTAAGTCATTCATTCCTTTCCTTTAGGATCACACCTGTGACATTGAGTGGTGAATGGCGAGGGCCTCAGGCATTTTCCCTGGGAGAACATTCCAGGGCCTCAGGCATTTTCCCTGGGAGAACATTCCAGAGAAGTCTTCCAGGGCAGGTCACCTGCAGTTTGTGAGCAGTCACTTGTGGGTGAGAGGAAACCCTCTGTTGTCCCTGGTGCTGAAGCCCCAGGCTATATGAATTGTGAACGTGTCTGCTGGAGGATTCTGCCCAGAAGAGCCAGATAGGGCCTATCAGAATGGAATTAAATGGGTGTGAGGGGGATATGGCTGTGATATCTGTCATCCCATTGATTGATCACCAGGATTGCTTCGGCTGATCTGGCTGGCAACGTGGGTGTCCCCCTCCTCCCTCATGGATCCCTCCCTGTGCGTCCCTCCCAAAGCTGCATGCTCAGTTGAACAGGATGACTATCCCTGATAGAAGGAAGACCGTCCTTAGGTCAAGGGTATACAAATAGCTGTGCTCTCCTGCTAGAACCTCCAAACAGGCTCTGAGAAGGGAATTAACTCAGTCCCATAAGGACAAATACTGTATAAAACCATTATTGTAGAAAGCGTAGGAGGATCCAAGTGGGGGAGGGTGGGAGCAGAAGGGGGGAAGAGGAGGAGCAGAAGGGTGGGTGGGTGGGAGATGTTAATCAGAGGGTCTCACAATTTGACAGATGGAGGGAAGGGTGGGTAAAGGAAATGGAAAAGATCCAGTGTGAAAAACAACATATACAAACTTTGTAAGTAAAGCAGTATAAAATAAAAATTGTTTAAATTTTAAAAATTTCATGGGAGGAGATTGCCCATCTTCCTTCCACGGAGCAACTAAAAACTAAAAAAAAAAAAAAATCAAGGTTTGTATAGGAAGGTGACTAAAAATCCCACATTGCCCACAGCTAGGACCTAACCAACTGAAATGGAGAACCAGCGCTTTCGGAGGAAAGTAAATCTAGACCTCAGGTCACTAGCCC